ACCGGAATTCCCCCACCCAACGGATGCCCGGACCAACAGGCAGCAAAGATGCTCTGCGCAGGTGAGAGGGAACCAGCCTGCAAGGAAAGCCGCAAAGACTTATCATGATCATGTAGACTTGACCAAAAAAAGTTGTAGACTTCAGGCATCTAATAGGTCTGAAGGCTTTGGACTGCAGGGTGTTCGGATGGCATGCATGCAACTGTTTCCCACACCTACGCTTGCAATCAGGCCCATCAATACGGGGATCGCTGCATCCTTCCTACCAGCAAACGAACCCATGATGCAAATGCGCCCATGGAAAAAACACAGCAATTTGTTCATGCAAATAACCACAAATGTCAAGGCCTGAAGAACCAGCGACATCGATGATGCCAGGATGAAGCCCTCCACCCCGAAAGGCTGAAGTGCAAATTCCGCACAGAATGATGAAGCGAAGCGACACGTAAATGGTGCGCATGAGGCCATTGATGTTGAGACCTCTCCGATTCCGAAGCGCACGGACTGGGGGCTGGCTCAGGTCGTCAGGTCCTTTCTGTTTCCCCCCTAACCTCCAGACAAACCAAATGGATCCATGGATTCATGGTGCGAACATACCGGCAGTTCTCATGAATCGAACCTGAGTCGATGCACATCACTTGCTCGGGGGGCTGCTGCTCAGGCGGACGTCTTCGAAACGGGTGATCCATCTGGGGTCACGATTCAAGCCATTCTCGGGGTTGGCGTTTGAAGACACCAGACTCATGCGCCACTGTCCAAATTATACTGGACCACGAAGCACAAGGCTCTGTAATTAAAACTGATCCCAATACAGGTCATACGATGACTCCTCTATGGAGCCCCTTAAACAGGACAAGTCTTATCCCAAACCAAAAGCAGGAGCTGCAGAACCGCGCCATGATGTACCGAAGTTTTCCAAACAGGCCGAGGCTTCATGTCACTGGCAGCCAGCATTCGGAGAATTATGCGGGGAATCTGCAAACAGACCGTGAAAGTTCAGGTAGGGAGTTTCGTGCCACGTAGGAGAAGTCCAATGTGGATTGACAATCAGCAGCGCAGCACTTGTGACTGCTCAACCCCACACCGGCACAACTTCCAAGAACATGGTAGAATGTCTGTACAATTACAAGATGAGACAAGGCAAAACGGACTGAAGCAGCTTAATCCCTAAACCCTGAACCCCGGAGCAATCCAAAGCTGCCGGGGCGCGACGTACCTGTGTGGAGACGTTGGTGAGAGACCTCATGCAGGCTGCATCGTCTCGGAAAAACTTTAGAGCTCTGGGTTTAGGGTTCAGGGTTCATGTACCCAAATATATAGTTACTACCCATCTATATATACACACACATATACATATATATATATATACACTAGTTGAGCACATGGACCCTTTGGGACTCAAGCAGCGGCACCATGATGCAGAAAACCTACTTTGCAGTTGTTTGGTTCCAGGCAAGGGAAGCTCTGCGGCTTTCAATCTTGGTCATACCTTCCAAGAGGAGTTTAGGGTGTCGGGTTTAGGGTTTATAGGAGGCTTGGATTGAGGGTGCCATTAAATCTTTGCACCCTGTCAATCCTTTCATTGCCTAAAACCGGAGACATTTCTATACTACTCAAGACTCAAGATCCAGAGCCCTGGTGCCTGACCCCTGCATCCAAAATCCCAAGGCCGGAAGCAGGAAATCTTACACTGCTTTTTGTCCGAAGGCCAAGTCATCCCCAGGCATCGACGTTGTGAGGCGCTTCTTGGCGGTTCAATGGACTTGAAATGCCGACACGTTTGGCCTCCAGTTCGGACCCCTTGAAATGGACATCAGCAAGCCTTACCGTCTAACTTGAACCCTTGCCCCTTTTCGGATCCAAAGCCATATTTTCTGCCAGGCTGCTGTGGGTATGTTGACCCGATGCTTGACATCCCGAGGTTCCAGAGGTCGGGAAGGTTCCCAGAGGAGAAATGCTGCCCTCGGCTGTGCTGGACTCATATTGCAACTCACGCAACGTAGCAGAAGCGCAAACCCTACCTCAGCAAAACCCTTCAAGCATGCAGTAAGGCCTGTTCTGCCAGTCTGAAAGGCTACCTTTGCCGGTACATATGCCCATATGGTCTGGATGCCCGAAACTGGTGGGCCCCACAATCAGTTGTATAGAGCTCCGGAATTCAGTACACCCTGAGCCCTAGCAGCCCCACACCGCAGAATGCGCTGTATCCAACCCATGGACTCTGCAATTCCTTACAATACCTCCAAACTCCAAACACCCTATCCTGTAAGCTCAATCCCAGAAGCCCATAAGCCCAAAGAGTCCCAATCCTATGCCCACACCTCAGCTCAACTCCCGGACACCCGGAAGCACCCCCTAAACCCTAACCCCAAGATATCTCGAAAATTCCCGAAATACACCCCAAACTCCCCAAAACCAGCAAGCACCACTAACCCGGCCCAAGATCCGGCGTAGACACGCAGGCGACTGTACAAGGGCTCAAACGGCTGGCCGTTGCAAGCGCTGATCGACCAGAGGTAGAAGCGCTCGAAGACCTTCAGAACAGAAGGTTCAGTTTACAGTTCTACAAGGATTATGGGGTTCAGGGTTGGGGGCTTAGGGTTTAGTTTAGAGTTTAGGTTTGAAAGTTAAATTTATTGGGCATAGGATGGCACAGGACCTGTGAGTATGTCTGACTTCGATGCCTCAGCAGCGTTTAATCTGGCCAGTGGCCAGGAGAATGACGAATATAGGTCCCATCAGGTGAGAACCCAGATTCATTGCACTCGGAGCTTGCGGCCAAGGCACGGAAACGCCAGCCTGGTCGGCAAGCAGTTGTGACACAAAAACAGATTCCTAGAAGCCTCCCCAACCCAACTTATCCCCACAAACGTTGTGGGCTGGGGAATCTACCGGCAGTAACCTACCGTACGGGTGCATCGGTCCCTGCCAGCATTCCGGGAAGATCTAAACGCAATAAATCTGGAAGTGCACTCAAGGTGAGGCTCCAGGAGATGAGGGAGGGTGGAGGGGCTTGAGGCCGTTAGGTGATGCTTGTAAGCCTGTCTTCCTGTCTTCCCTTCAGTACAATAGGCATCCATCCACAAGCCCGAGATCCCAAGCTCGCCGCACTCCGAAAACATCCTGGAGTACAGGGCCATGCCGGAACCGGGGATCAAGATCAGAACCCGATTGTGGGATAGCAGCATGGAGGTGGTGAACGATTGCAAGGCAGCACTACAAACCAACGATCCTTGCATCTGTCAATGCGCCTTGTTCCTGAGAGACAATGCCTCCCCATCCGACATGAAGATCTGCCGGCGGCGGGAAGCGGTTAGGGAGTGTCGCCAGCGTGGCTTCCACCAGGCGAAAGCACCAGTAGCATATGTCGCACTGCTGATAGTCTTTTTTCTTCTGCAGAAATTACTACGAGAACGTGGCGTGCCACCAGTTATTAACAGTGCATCTCGGCACCAGCATTATGGCCACAGGTACCAGGCCTCGTGCCCCCATTCCTTCTGTTGTTAGTTTTGGCTGTGCTATCCTCGTATTTCTCGTATTTCTAGATACGGGTCGAGTACTGTATTCCGACGATCAGTGTCTGCGGTTGAAGCTACCATGGTCTAATTCTAGCATAACTAGTGCCGCAGCTTGCTGCTAGTTCTACTGTCGGCAGTGTCGGCTCGACTACCAGCCGTTAGAATGATTGTGGTCACTACCACACCACTATCGATGCCTATAAGTACCACCACAAGCTAGCAAGGGTCCAGATTTGCAAGCGTAGATACTGGGTCGGATTGAGACCCTATACGGTACCTGATGAATTTGGGGTGGCCGTCGCGGTTTTGACTCTCCAGGCTCTCACCACAGAGCCTCTGTTTTGTAAACCTTCTCAGCAAGCCCGACTGAATGTTGGATGGAGACCAAGGAATAAGTGAACATCAGCAGATGTAGCTTCAACTCCGACACTCCCGGAACCTCAGCACAGCAACAGCTTGAGGCCTCCGCCAGGTCCGCCGTGGTCTGATCCTTGCTATGCGGCAGCTCGGTCTATCCCTCTGACGCCTCTCTTGCAAAAGTGTATGCAGCAGCACTTGCTCTGGTCATGCATGCCATAGCTGCCTACATCGAGGCCTGAGAGGATTGATCCTGGGGCCACGGCCGCTAGCAGAGGAACGCAATGTGCCGCCGTGCAGCCACGGAGATCCCGATTCTGGCATAAAGGAACAGTAAGAGCAGAGTTCGGATTTCAGGTGACGCAGTGAATAGCTAGACGAGGGTTTGGAGGATCTTGTTGCCATTGCAGGTATCATATGTATATATATATATATATATATACTTATAGTTATGTACATACATACAGACATGCATGCATGCATGCATACCTACATACATGCATACATACATACATACATACATGCATGCATGCATGCTTGCTTGCATTCATACATACGTGCACACGGATAGAAGGACACTGCGGGGAACTCACTACGTACCAAGTGCTGGGGGGCCTCTGTATAACAATCGGACCTATGCCTAAAGACCAGTGATCTCAGAGAGCTTCCGCTCTCTGTGCGGTGGGCTGGGCTCGCTTCCGCTTGTGCTCGGACAACTTGTCCGAAAGCTAAACGACCTAGTCGAGCTGGCAGTCTTTGTATGCAAATGTGTGTGTGTGTGTGTGGGGGTGAGTGTGTGTGTGTATATATGTGTATATAAATATGTGTGTGTATACATAAGAAGATGTATGTATATGTACGATTGTATCTACTCATACATTTGCACTAAGCAGATCGAGACAAAACAAACATGGATAGACACAAGTGCCCAACAACATGACTTGAAGGCAAGGTCTTTCACGCAGATCTCTTTGAATCTATACCGTCTCTTATTTGGACAAACCACGACAAACCCTAAACGAACATAAACCTTAAGCCCTAAGACCTCGACCCAAAACATCCCTAGAAACACTAGCAAACTCTTTGCCCTAACGCTGAACCCTGAAAGTTGTGTAGGTCTCGGGCCGTGCTCGCTGCACCGACACGGATCAAAAGGCGGACGATCTGCAAGCGACGGGGGCACGGGCTTGGGTTTAACTGCGGTTTCATAAGTGGCTTATGCTCTCGCAAATCGGACTGGCCAGGCGAGGTCTCACAGGTTTGAGTTAGCGTGATACGGCAAAGCACAAACCTGACATGCAGCAATGCACGCACCCACGCCCGCTACTCTACAAGCCCTGAAGGGGCAATATAATTATCTTCACGGCCAGATTTGTTGTTCAGGCTTCTACTCTGCCGAGGCAAACTTCCACCAGAAGAAGCATACAAAGCTACCATAGACAAGAATGCCAAAACATTACCAGAATATATAGCCTGAAGGTTAGCGACTGAAGCCCACCCATGTCAAACGTCGAACCGTAGTTCAGACAAGAACCTACCGCTACAATCACTGCCATCACTACCACGAAGCTCGAGTACAAACTGCTTTGCCATGTGGACTGCTGACTGCCACTGCTGTGACTCCGACGTGCTGCTGCCACGAGGTCAGCCGAGATCGTACAAGTTTGCATGACTGGGCATGCATTCCCCACTTCGCAGAGCTCTGCTTCGAGTGTCGAGGACGTTTCCTCATCCAGCTCCCTGCCGACCATGCGTGCCTCTGTCGTCACCTCCTCCTCCTCCGCGTATCTGCGCAGCATCGGCCTTGCAAAGCGACTCGGGAAGCCCGCGCTTCCTCACAAACAGCGAGGCGGTATCCGAACCCGTTGCTTGCTCAGCTGCCGCACCCTGCAGCACCGCCGCTGCCGCGGCTGATGCTTGCGCAGGCGCGGCCTGTTCTGCAGGAATCGGCTGGGACGCCTGTGACACCATGGGGCGCACGATCAATCCAGACGGCGTTGGAGCTGAAGGCTGGTCGAAATGCTTCCAGGTGAGCCCAGCTTTCTGCCGTTCGCGCTTCCTTTTGTTCTTCAAAACCTGCTACCTGACCGCATTGGAAGTAGTCATCCCCTTCACGACTGCCGGCATGCCAGGCTGCATAGCAGGGAACACCACATCTGAAGGCACATACGGCACCCGCATGTAGAGGGGGCTGCAAGATAGCGCCGACAAGCTGACTGCACCTCCGTCCGGCTTCATGTTGGATGTCGCGGTCACATCCACCATTTTATCCATTTGCCGGAGCCGCCCCGGAAAGCCACTAAAAGCTTACGAGGGACAGTCCGTGTGTGTGTGTGTGTGGGCGTGACGGTGTGTGTTGATTCCTGGCAGCATGTCGCTACGACGGCCTGTTGAAATCAACTGCGCCATCAAGTTCCAAAAGGAACAGAATCATGCCCACCCTTTCAATCCCTACATTCCGCATGATGGGCCCCATCTTGAGCCAAAATGGCGGGGTTTAGGGTCTAGGGTGTTGAGCAGCTTTGGCTTTGTGCTTTCACTGGCGGGGAGCTTCACAAGACCTTAAAGCGCCACAGAGATCACACTGCAAGCCATCAATCAGGCTTGTCCGACCATCCCGGACCGAAAACAACTTCCTTTTGTGCCCTGCCTCGACTTCACGTTGCTGAGCAGCCAAATGCAGGGTTGTTGTCCTAGACTGCCAGGCACTTGCTTGAGGGGTCCTTCAAACAACTCTACACAGAACGTCGTTGTCCCACTTCACTACAGCCCCGCGGACGACATGTCGATTGAACTTCAGCTGAAAGAGCAGCCCGGCTATAGATCACGATGCATCAGTGTCACTCAGGAGCATTAGCGAATCAACCAGTGAAGCCCCATGCAGGGCACGAAGACACAAACTCCAACATCGGAGAAGCACGATCTTGCCGAGCGACCCGCGTCCATCCGAAAGGTTGGGGTCCGCCTGTTCCTTGAGAAGCTTCCGGCAATCCTGGCAGTCGCAAGGCCAAGCTTGAGCTGTCGGCTTGGCCACAGTGACATGAACTTGCAAACCCTATAAGGCCCCTGCCTACACCCTAAACCCTCAACTAGACGAAAGACCCTAAACCCTGTGCCTTTAGAGCCTTGGAAATGCCGAACTTCCCAGCCTCCAAACGGTTCTCCCTCACTGCGCTCCAGAGCGGCAGCGACACTCCGATGGCAAGCTCCTTCAAGTTCGGCTTGTGCTCTATATGCAGTCTCTACCGTGTGTGTGTCTCATTGAGTTGTTGTTCACAAGCCTTCTATCAATTCGCATGACCTGGTTACGTATGGCACAAGTACAGCCTGCAGCCTCATCCTGTTGTGGCCTCGGAGAGGCTTATCTGCCACCGTGCCCGAAGAACAAATCGCGCACCCCCCCCCCAACTCTATACAGTACCCCTTGTAGTACCTTTTTTGTAAGCCCGCCGTCGTACTAATCGTTAGACAACATAGTAACCCCTACGACAGCCCAATGGGAACTCCAAATTCCGAACCCTTCCCTCCTCCACGAAGATTTGCATCAAGTGTGACACGAGGTCGTAGTCCGTGGTAGGGGGTTTCACGAAGACGGGCTGGTTCATGCCCAAATGATGACACCGTGCAATCTCCTGACGAGAGTAGAAGGATTCCAGTGTTCAGGCATTTTGGGCTTGCTCGCCTTGAAACTGTCGGATGGGGATGAGGGCTGAAACCGAGGACTACTGACTGCCGCTGCTCTGCACAATTGTTACTTCTTGTTGTGCTTCCTCCTCCTCTGCCTCTACGGCGTTACTCCTGCGACAATGTCATGTCAAGCAGTGAAACCCGGACCGTTCGACAACAGCGGGACCATGTTTGACCCAAATCCCCCAGACTTGTACTACAGTCCATTTTGCTACTGGACTCAAACTTAGCCAGGACACGACCTGCAATCATGTACTACAACCCTAAGCATCCCTAAACCCCAAACCACCAACTTTATGCCTGCGACTCCAAGCGGCCGATGGAACTGGAAGGAAGGTCTTCTTCTCCAGCTCCTGAAGGGCTCTCAGGTCTGTTTTAAACGAAACTTCCCTGTGGATCTAAGCCTTCGGACAGTCTCCGCGGAGATACCCTGCACCCAGCCCAACTTTAAGTTGAATACAACGCATATCGTCACATGTGTTGTCCGGAAGGAGCCTACTTTAACAAGGGTCCAAAGCCAATTATAGGCCGCATGTCTTGACATCATGTCTCGCTGTCAACTTCAGGGCCCTGAAGCACTGGCCACCGGGGCCTGAGTGAAGTATTCCAACTCCGTTGACAGTGCATCTAAGCCTGCATCAGGTCAAGCGTCAGCTTCGAAGGAGTAGACAACGCGTACAACAGACGCCGGCGAAAGTAAATTGTTGGTGATGTAAAGCGGAGAGACAAAGGGACCAGCACGACAATTAAGTCCTAATCCCTTGACCCGTATAGGTCCTTTGAGTGAAGACCTCGTAAATGGGCCAAGCCGGGGCTCAATTCGAAAGATGCACATCGAGGAGCCTCCGGATGGTTTCAGCGCCAATGGCACCCGTCAGTCCCTATTTAGTCCATGCGAGGGTTGTTTCAGATTCGGGTTCCCTTCAAAGCTTTATGTAACGATGTCCTTACCGAGGAACCCTCATTTGGAGTAACTTGATCAGACCTAAACTAAACAAGAAGCAGTACGACCGTAAGACAACAACATCCAGGGGCTTGCATGCAACGTAGGCAGAAACAGAATATTAGAGTTTAAGACTGAGTGGCATGAAGTATAGACAGTGTATAGAGGCTGGAAATCCATTGTCTAGGATGACACCAAGAAGAAGCCGCAGCAAAGCTGGACGTGATCGATCACTTGCGTCCCAGCTTGAGGGCGCCAACCGTACCCAAGGGCTTTCAAGAGACGCTTCTAAAAGGGTGAGCCCGAAAGACAGAGTCCTACATCCGAGCTTCCTGAATTATAAGTGCTATTAAAGCCATTCCTCGGCTCCATATCGTCCAGCATCGATTGTGTGGGTGACTCGACCCAAGCTTGAACAGTTCCGAAAACAAGACTTTCCAACAGCTCGCGAAACAACATGCTGCTCCTGGCAGACAGATGCGCTCAGGTTGTGTCCAAATGACGGGGTTCGGTTTGGGAATCGGGGATTCTGGACCAATTTAGGTTTGAACTTCGCAGGTCGTGTGACTTGTTGTGTGCGTTCTCCGTAGGCTGTTGACCAGGCACCTTGCTGCGTTGCACGGCGCAAGCGTGCGCCACCGCGAAGCAAGTCTAGCTTTACCTGGGCAGTTAAGAAAAGCCAGCGGTGCCGTCCGAACTGATACAGTGCTGCCAAGCCCTCATGACTCACCACTGTGTGGGTGCCATGTTTGTTGCATGGAGGCCTCGGGTGAAAGGCGATGTGCAAATACACCTATGAATACATCCATCTATCTATCTATCTATCTATCTATCTATCTATCTATCATGTATCAGCCACTGCAGCCCATGCAAGGACTGGATGATGTTCGATTTATCGGCATTGCCATGGCATTGTTGCAAGAGTTTGGCTGCTACGGTCTCGCAAGCTGCGCAGGAAGTCATACAACTGTTTGACAAGCTTTTCCTCCTAAGGAACGACAGTACACAAATCCCACGGAACACAAGTCTCACGTGGAATTGCTATGAAGCTTCCGAACAAACTGCTCGAACTCTAAAGCACCTTTTGAATTTTGCCGGCCTATCATGGAGGCTTGACTATTCCAGGTCGGAGAGCTACAGACTCGCAACACGACTGTTTCCAGCGCTATCCCTGACCCCGGGAGTTCTAGAGTTATAATACAAGTGCTCATATACATAATATAATTCTAGAGACTAGGGTTCGAGGCTTCAGTGTTGAGATGGGTGTTGGGTCTTCACTCACCGGCCCTGTAGGGCCTGAATAATCGGAATGGGGTTTCCGGGTATACTGTGGTATGATCATAACTAACGAGGAACCGTAGGGAATCATTAGTCTTGCTAAGGGTGCAGGCTTCTGTACTACGTGCGGAGCCTGGGGATCGCTTGCGAAGATGACTTCCTGCGCCGAAGCTTCCTGCAGGCACGGGAAGTTATCCGTGCCAGGTGATGCCGATAAGGGTCGCTGCGCATAAATGGAAGGCTGGCGAGGATTAACTACAAAAGTCGGTCGAGCCGAGCCTTCAAGGAAGCGAGGAGAATCATGTTTTCGACAGTAAGTCAAGCCATGAAACAAGGAACTTGCAAATGCAGGCGTGATAGCAGTCTGATAGCAAGCGCTGTGGAGGTAGCAGTGGCAATCTCCCGATTGTGACGGACGTAGAAGAAACAGTAGCCGTAGCAGCTTACGTAGAAGGAAATGTGTTACCATTTCTCGCAGACGTAGAACTAGTGGGAACTAGTGGTTGCGGTGAACGGTGGTGGTCATAAGAGAAGTGGGATGCCTGCATCGCTAGCAAGTCTCACAGCTCTGCCAGGCATTACATTTATTGAAGTATGCTGTCCTGATATGTTCAACCATGAATGCCATTCGGAGCATTTTAGCCTGGCTGCATGCACCCACCACACCATCCCGCCTACCCCAAAACAAAAACTCTCGGGGCAGTTCCGGGAGCACCTCCATCAACGCAACCTTCACCTGAGATGAGGTTGCCACAGCAGGCTTTCTCTTCGCGTGGAGGCCTAGGCTACAATGTTTTCAAGTTACTTTCGCGCAACTTCTAAACTCTGTCTCAATGCGAGTTTGCATCAACTTCTCCTCCGGTTCCAGCTATACTTGCACGAGCCTACCTGGAGGATGTTTTGGAACTGATTGATGTGCATGAACCCAGATCTTCCAAAACCTCTTAAGAAAGGAACATGCCTTAAACTATCGTAGAATACCTTATTGTATATTCCTTGACTTTCCTTGACTAAGGGATTTAGGCAGATCTGGAATTCTGGGCCTCGGACCATGGTGATGAACTTCTCAAAGAAAATGTGCCCCTGAGCCGCAGGTGTGACATCGATCCTGGAAATGGCGGAAAGTGACCCTTGGGATGTCAATCCTGAAAATGCTGGATTATGCTGGGCTCTAGCTAGGGAACTTGCTTGGACTTGGCAGAGTATCGGGGTCGCAGAAGTTTCGATTCGTAAAGATACAGGTGCAATGCTTCGAGTGCCGGGGTCCCTAACCGCCCCAACCCTAAACTCAAACTTAAACCCTAAACCGTGGATTCAAGGTCAACCATAACTACCGGTTCGGAGTTCGGGCCAGAGGCTTAGGACAACTACGGCTGGATCCAGGCTTAGGCTTTTGTTCACGGTCTGTTTCAGGAAACGTCCACAAGCTTCCCATAAGGCTCCATGTGCCCATAGAGTATATACTTGGGCTTTTACAGGGTTTCCATGTGTAGGTACTTTCAGGCCTTAGTATTAAAGTACCTGGGCACATGGAGCCTGAGGCTTCTATGCTTGAGAACCGTGAGCCCGTCCTGTAGCCATAAGGTGCCCGGAGCATCTGGGCCTCGACTGGCAGCTGAAACTTTCAAACAAGGGCCTTAATAATTCCAGTAGGGTTTTGCAGTAGTATAGTTGCTACAGTGAACTCTAGACACCCAAACCGTGGTACAGTACAAGCTATGTTAATATTATACTGTATCATACTACTGAGTCGAAGCTGCTGTGGGCCAGCCCTTCCACAGCGATGCCATTGTAGGGAAAACGCTCCTGTCGTCTGCTTCTTGGGTTTGCAGAGGTGATCGCTACGGGGGGGGGGGGGGGGGGG